CGACTTTCCAGTGCTGCCCCAATTCCAAATTCTTACAACGCAACTCGATCCCCTCCAGGAAGGGTCGGCCTAGCCTTAGATGCCTGACAGTGGAGTCACGGAAAATGAACTTGATGCTTTCGGGACTGTCAATCCATACAGGTATGCCTTTATATGGCCTTACGCACAAACGTCGGCCTTCCGGATCCTCGTAAATTTCCCACATTCCAATACCTGTCTCGACAGTCGTTGGCGAGCTCCATCATCGTCTTGCTTGTGATGGCCGTCTTGAAGAAACTCTTAAAATCCATATGACAGAGGATGTTTTGCCGGACAGCGAGTGGGAATTCAAAGAAGTTGTACATCACCTGGAATAAAAATATTATAGTGAAAAGTAGCGCTAAAGAGATAAGGATATAGTGAGCTAAGGAAGGGAGAATGAGCGCGAGAGTGCGGGCGAGAGAGAAGGAAAGAGAGGAAAGAGAAAGAGAACGAGAGAGAATGAGAGCGAGGAGCTAGAAAAAATTCTACAATAACTATAGCTTAAACTGGCATCTGCCGTTAGTCCCACCCGGGGCACTTATCGTAGTCGCTGAGGTCAACCACGAATTCTATTGGTGTTTTAACGCCTACACCCGCCTTCCCGCCCAATATACATTTGGTCTAACGCTAAAAAAAATCGAAACAATGGCAGAGAGGCAGACCTAAATCGTCGAAATCGGACAGGTCTGTCGGCCGCGAGAGGGGATACGTTTTGGGACACCCTGTCCTTGGCCAAATGCTTTTTACCCCTTGAGTCAGGATTCTGCGGAGAATAGCCTTAAAACAGCAGTGTGAATTCTAACCAAGCTTTTGATTAAGTTTTATTCACAAACAAATCACTTTCGGACGACCCGAACTAATTGCTGGGCGCCGCGTTTGAGATTTTTATCGCGGCGCAGACGTCGATCGGGATGTACAAAGATCAGAATCTGCTTTTCGTAGTCGACAACCAGAATCAATTCGTTACCATCGTTGCGTTGGATACGCCAGCACGCTCCTTGGTCTGGTAGTCGCCATTTTGGGTACGGCTTGAGGTAATCGGGGTCAAAGCCGGAGAGCCGATCGCGGAACGACATATCGCCGATCGTGACGTCACGTATTTCCCGGGTTCCCGCCAGCCACTCCTCGATCATCGTCCGTGCGTAGGCTTCGTAGCACGGATCGGAAGTCTGGTAGTTCCACAACACCATTTTGGGGACTTTCAAAGTATTGTATTCCGGCGCGGGTGCGTCAATTTCGGCCCCAACATCTTCAACGTTTTCATTCAGCCATCCCAGCAGTTTGCTGCAGGGCCGGACGGCGCTCGTGGACACGGAAGCATATTTTAGAGCCGGTTTGTGCCGCTTGAGATTGGCCAGCAGGAATTCGGAATCCACCCTCCAATTTAAATCCAATTCCAGATTATCACAACGGATGTCGATTTCCTGAGGGATAGGCCGGTCGAGCCTCAGGAGATTAACGGTCGAATTATGGAAAAGAAGCTCGATCGTGTCAAGGCTTTCGATTAGGGCATCCTCAAAGCCTTCTTCGCATACAAACCAAAGTTCAGATTCCGGATCCTCGTAAACGTCCAGATTCCAATATTTTTCCCGGCAACCTCTGGCTAGCTCCATCACTTTCCGGCTCGAGATGGCCGTCTTGAGGAAGCTTCGAATGTCCATGTGACGGAGGATGTTGTGCTGGATCATGAGTGGGAACTCGCGGAAGTTATCCATCACCTGAAATGCAACTTTTATTATGATACTCATCAAATGAAAAAGCATGAAATTTAGAACTAAACGAAATAGGAATCAAGATAAAAGGAAAAAACGCGAGAGAGAGAGAGAGAGAGAGAGAGAGAGAGAGAGAGAGAGAGCGAAAAAACTGTGGTTAGTCCAGAGCAACGGGTGGGCAATAATACGCAACAGAAAAACTTCTGCCAACATCGGACATCTGCCAGACCCTACTGCAAATGACGCATCAATCGTCGCGCTTGAAAATCAATATAATGCGTATGCTTCTGTATAAAAGAATCCATTAGAGATTTATATTTATTTTTATAATATTTTAGTTCGTTATTTAAAGCAAGCAGGAATCCATTTAATCTCATTTTCGCTTGCTTCATATTGACATTTATTAGATTAATTTAAATCCACATTCGGAATTAGTCACCCCAAAATAATCCAGATGAACAAAATCTCATTCTGCTTTGGTGATGGAGTCAAAATCGGCTAGTGCCCGGAAAAAGGGTAAATAATTACGGTAGCTTATCCATGTTATGCAAATTAGGCAACGATGTCTGCCGCTGGATGGTGATCCTTGGAATTGGGCTTTTGGCGTTGATCTTGTTGTCTGGTGAGTAGGACAACATAGAAACAACGGTTTATTTAGTGAAATATGGCTCAAAAGTTGAGGGTGATCTACCACATTCCGAACCTCATGCTACTCCAAAAATTGATATGGGCTCGGTAGCGTTTGGCTCGAATTCCGAAGTTTTCTGATTTTTAGAAAGAAAACCTGTGCACGACAAAGGGATGTACGGAAGCGGCTGGCATGATTGTAGGGCTAATTTTCGCCCTCAATCCTGAACTCCTTCAACGAGATATGGTCGCAATCTAAACCTTGGTGAGCTTCCAGATCCAAAACATGAACCTCGCCATCGACCCGTGCGAGGATTTCCACGAGTACGCCTGCGGGGGATGGAATCAGGTAAAAACAAAATCAGGGCAGTTCATGGAGCACAAAAACTTGTAGAAGAACACGGGACCGGTCACCGGCTGGCTGCGCGTTACCCTGGAGCAGCAGATTTTTGGTATGCCTTTTTTGGAACCACGAGCTTGCGTTACTCCAACGACGCGAGTGAAATCTTACAGAGATGCTCACGAATGATAAATCGGGAATGGCGGCAGGCGAGAAGGCGAAGGCCTTCTACGAGTCTTGCCAAACCATCGACCTCGAAAATTTTAACTCAGAGCTCCAGGAATATGTCAAGAAGTTTGGGGGAGCTGCGGCTGATCGGGCAGAAGTTGGAGCCGGGATTGGTGGGATTCTGATTAATTAGCTCTCTCTCTATCTCGCTGTCTCTCTCTCTCTCTCTCTCTCTCTCCTTCTCTCTTTCTCGCTCTCTATCTATGTACCTATCTCTTTCACACGTTCTCACGCTCACTCTCTCGCTCTCTCTCTTTCTCTCTCTCTCTCTCTCTCTCTCTCTCTCTCTCTCTCTCTCTTTCTCTTTCCCTCTCCCCCACGCACACTCCCTGTCTCTCTCGCCCTCTCTCTTTCCCTCTCCCCCACGCACACTCTCTGTCTCTCTCGCTCTCTCTCTCTCTCTCTCTCTCTCTCTCTCTCTTTCTTTCTCGCTCTCTTTCTTTCTCGCTCTCTCTTTTTTCTCTCTCTGGCTAATGCGATTTTTCGACGTTTAGAGCCAGCCCAGCATCACCGACATGTTGTTGTTCACCACGTTCCCCAGGATCCGCAAGGATGACGAGCTTTCTGCCGCAAACTGTCTACCCTGTATCCAACCTTCCTCCAGCCCATCTGTTAGGGTATCGACAATCGTCCGTCCCTGAATTGATGCAAAATCCTAGCTCTCCATGCCGCATGATCGGGCGATGTTTTTCGATACGAGATATGCGCCCAGGGGACCGCTTGACGAAGGAAAAGTCAGGAGTGGGCTTGAGGAGGTATTTTTGAGGAATTACCATAAAACTGACTATCGTTTTTAGGCTTTTACGGAAATAGAGGCCCTGGGCTTCAACGTCAACAATGAGGCCCGCCAGGAGCAGTTGGAGGAACTCTTCGAATTTTACAAGAAGCTTTTTGTCGTATGTAAATTAATCGAGTTCCCGGTACCGGACTGTTAACGGGGGAGGCGGCTAATTTTTATTTTTTCCCGCCTTTTCGTGCTGGTTAATACTATATAGCGTATTTCCACAGTGTGGTCAGTAGTTTTTAACGACCATAAAGTTATGAAAATTCAAAAATTTTGGAATTTTTACCTTTTGGCCATTTTTCATACGTATTTGACGAAAAATGTCCAAAAAATGAGGAAACTGCTAGCTTTTGAAAGCTGTTTCTATGTCTGGAAAATGTGTAAAATGCTACCTTGAGAAAAATTTCGACATGTCCCCCCCCCCGTTACGAGTACAGTACCGCGTCCCCTACTTTTCCAAATCTTTCCAGGCGACAAGCACAAAATTCGAGACGGGCCCTTTTCCGACGATCGCTGACCTTCAGAAATTGGCCCCAGCGGTATTTAGATTTAAATTATCGCTATTTACTTATTCACAGTATGATTGGATGCACTTCATCCGCTCCCATTTCCCCAAGTACCTCCACAGCGAGATCACCGAGCAGATGGAGATCTTGCTTTTCGGATCTCAAAACATGGGACTGGTAGAAAATTTCTATCCGTTTCTCACAGCTACCCCTTCAGATATCTGAAGCCCTGCCCCCCAGAACTTTTTTTTCGTCAACTGGGTCCGACACCTCCGGCAGCGATTCCGGCTCCATTCTAGGGTACCATGTCGTACAAGGGTGAGTTTTTAGAGGTCTTACGCATTATCGAGGGGGGCTTCAATGCGAAATGCGTGGTAAAGCAGTAGCGAGTATTTAAATGTTTTTAACAAAATCTATAAATATTTAGTTGGAAACTATCTACCGGAACTTTCATAGACTTTTCAAAATTTCAAATTTTCGTGAAAAATTGACCATTTTGTGCTCGAAACATCTAGGTTTTATGGATTTTTGAAGTAAAATGCTAATTAGACAAAATTATGTTAGCCTTTTGGAAAGCCACTTCCTTTAGCTACTCGACTACTTCAAGACACTTTCGGAGCACCTGGCCCTCGACACGATCCGATCAAAGAGTCATGTCGAAGACGTTAGGGTGGGTTCAAACTTATAGACCGACGGTTACCGAAACTTGTATTAAATCTTATTATTTAAATAAATTTTGTAATTGGTATTCTCTGAAACTAATTCAGAACCTCGGTAAGGAGATGCGCCGCGTCTTCCACCAAATTTTTGATGAGAACACGTGGCTGGCCCCGGAAACGAAGGCCAAGCTCAAGCAGAGGGTATCGAAAGGTTTTTCGTTTTAGTTTTTTTAATTCCAGCTCAATGACGTGCAGGAGCGCTACGGCTACAATAAGCACGCCCTCGACAGGCAGAAAATCGACGAATTTTACGAGATGGTGAGCCTTTTTGGGGCAGGGGGCAAGCTTTTTTCGACCAAAGTTTTAGGTTTTTGTTTTCGCTTTTTTTAGGTAATAATCTGGATCTAGAAAAATTTTAAGCCATTTCTAAACACAACAACCATACAAATTTTTAATCAAAAAATTTATTTTAGGGGGAAAATCATGTTTTTTCGACCTAAAATGACCAAAGTTTCGACTTTTCAGGCATTACCTTTTTTTGTGAAACGGTTTTGTACGTAACATATAGTTAAAAACACTAAATCCTACTATATATAAAAAATAGTGTCTGTGTGTTTGTGTGTGTGTGCCACTTTGCATGCAACTTCCGTCAGGGTGTCCGGAGGATATCTCGAGAGGGAAAGGGTTTTAAGCAACGTATGATACGTCATTAGGTGCGTAATGGCGCTGAGATGCCTGCACACACATCAGATTTTGCAAATTATGCTATTTTCGACGTTAAAATCAAGTTTTTGTTAGAAAATGGAGCACCCACTTTGTTAGGAATCAATTAGTATATGCCGGAAATGGCGCGAGCCTATACAATGGGCGGAGGGGGAGATTTTCATTTTTTGTAATCGGAATTCGCGAGAATTATGCAAAATGAAGCATATTATGACGCTAGACGGGGGCCAGGGTTGAAAAGAGGCGAAGCGGCTTTTCAACCCTGGTCATACTTTAAGCGAATCAGTTCAGATCCCAATGCCTCAAGAATGGAACGCCGTCACCTTTCTGCAATTTGAAGACCGCGCCAGCTGGGTCGCATCGGAATTTGTAGCCTATTCTGTTCCAACCTGGACCAACGAATCCTAGCATCTATTCGGTGATCTCGTCACTGATCCGATGCGCATCAACGCCGTGAATTTGGCCGACAGAGCAATCGGTAAGTTCCTTTGTGGTATGGCGATATCACAAGTTTTCTTCGTGAAAAATCGTCCATTTAGTCATCCCCATCGGCATCATCACCACCCCGTTCTACGACCCGACGTGGCCACTCGAGTTCAACTACGGTGGCATTGGGCAGATCATCGGCCACGAATTCACGCATACATTCGACGATCGATGTAATGCATTTGAGGAGCATTTAGCCCCACTTGTTCCAGCCGCCCTGCCAAAGGGGAATGTGGGAAACGACACGAAGGAGTATCGAGAGAAGGAGAAATGCTTTGTCGATCAGTTCGGAGGCGTCACTTACGGAAATCCGCGGTTCAACATCAGCATTCAGGTGGCTAGGGAGAAGATCATCTTCTGGACGCCGGAAATTTAGGGCAACGGCAAGCTTCAGCACAAGGAGACGATTGCCGACAGCAACGGGATTCGGGTGGCTTGGAGGGTAGGGTTTATCTCTCCCACTCTCGCTCACTCTCTCTCGCCCTCTCTCACTCTCTCGCTCCCTCACTCTCACTCTCGCTTTCTCTCACTCTAGCTTTCTGATCTACCCTTGCAGGCTTACCTCGAAAAACGTAAACAGCTCTACGGCCGCAACCCCCCCGAAACTTCCTGGACTTCAAGAATTCACCAACGATCAACTCTTCTTCTTAGCCCAAACCCAGGTAAATTTTCAGCAAAACTTAATCAGGTTCTCTGCAGCCGGAATGCGGAAGAACGCCTACCATCTACCCCAATCAAAACCGCAAGGAGCTCAGTTGGCTTCATGAGTTTGTTTTGGCCTTGAATTTCGTGGCTCAACATTTTAGTGAGCACCCAATCGGCAGCGTACGCGTCAACGAAAAGCTGAAGAACTTCAACGCGTTCGCCACGGCGTTTAAGTGCAAGGTATGGTCGAGTGAGGGAGACGAAGAGAGAGAAAGCAAGGGCTCAAGTCTAGGAAACCCCCCCCCCAGCCGACTTTTCAACTTTTCTACCTTCCTTATTTTTATTTTTCGCTACTTTTTTCGACTGAACTGTAATGTAGTCTTACTAATTAACCTAAGGCGAACATTTTGGTATACTTTAGAGCTCGCTAGCACAAAGGGGGGCCGAGATACAAAAGTTGGTGCCGGCTGGGGGGTTTTCTAGACTCTTACCAAAGCAAGAGAGGGAGAGAGAGAGCGCGCGCGAAATCACCTCTTTTTCAGTTGAACTCGACGATGAACCCGGAGAAGAAGTGCAGGGTCTGGCGCTACTACCACTGAAAGACTACGTTGCGCAACGAGACCAGATTATCCTCACGATTTTGCATGTAGTTTTCTGTGTCTCTATGTGCCTTGGAATTTTTGCACAAACGCAATAAATATTTTTGCTAAATCGCTAGATCGCTAGCGAAGCAATCGATTTTTGCAGGGAATTGAAATATTTAAAAATCGGCGACCACCCCACCCCCACCCCCACCCCCCACCCACCCTGGACGCCCACCCCACTGTAAGACTAGCGAAAAAGCTAGGCTTTAACCAAGTTTATTGACATTATAGAACCGTATGGTTCCATCACGACCATTTTGTATCATTTTGCAGTTTTTAGAAAGCGAATTTCCTGTAATAAACCCCACAAATTTTTTCCAAGAGCAAAAATTTGCTCTAAGAGAACTCCTCCCCTGGGGTGATTGGAGAAAATGGAACCGCCGAGATTCTATAGCGGAATGCGGTACAAAAATTCATCAGAATTATAAAAATTTACGGAAAATATTGGCTTTTTGATCAAAAATGTATGAAAAATGGCCAAAGAGGGTCAAATTTGTTAAGAATTTTATGTACCTTTTTAGCAATAAAATTACTGACTAAGACGCTATAAACAGCTTCATTACCTATGTGATCTATTTTCTCGACAGTAGATTTGATGGCTTCCCCCTGGCGCGGGGGGGGGGTCTAGATTTTTATTTTTTCACGTTACGCAAATGAGCCCTCCTGGAACCCAAACATGAATAAAACCGGCTTTAACTTTGTAAATTTGCATTTTATCGAAATTCTGAAGACGTCACCGGAAAGAGGAGGGTCGATTCCCCGAAGTGACGAATTATTGGGCCGTTTCGGACACGGAATGCTCTCAAATCGGACTTCGAAAATGACATCCACACACACACAGAGATACACCTCCAAAATTATATAAGGTAGCATCAAATAATTAACATACAACACAAAAATTTACATTCTTGATACCACTAAAAGAAAAAACGCGTACCTGCGTTATTCATTCATCTGCGATGGCTCCTCAATCGGCCACCGCCCAGAAACAGGGTAAGCTATCACGGTGGAAGCTTATCCATTTTTGCAAATTAGGCAACGATGCCTGCCGCTGGATGGTGATCCTTGGAATTGGGCTGTTGGCGTTGATCTTGTTGTCCGGTGAGGGGGACAACATCGAAAACTATGTTTCATTTAGTGAAATACGGCTCCCAAGTCGGCGATGATCTATCGTATTCCGATCCTCGTGCTCCTCCAAAAATTGATCCGAGCTCGGTATCGCCTAGCGCGATTTTGCAAGATTTTTCTGATTTTTAGAAAGACAGCCTGTGCACGACAAAGGGATGCACCGAAGCGGCCAGCCTAATTGTAGGAGCTTATTTTTAGGCTTAAGTGCAGTTCAGATCCAAAACATGAACCCGGCCATCGATCCGTGCGAGGATTTCCACGAGTACGCTTGCGGGAAGTATAACGAGGTGACCTGGCCTTAAAATCCCATCGTTGTTTTTCAGAAGCACCAGGGCGCGTTCTGGAGCGAGCAGGAGGAAAAGATGTCGCAACAGCTTCTTGGTAGGCTTTCGGGTTACAATTTTTTCGTGTGAAAAACAAGCTGCCGCTGTGCTTGTCGCGTTGCGTGCCGCGTCGTATCTTGCGTAGCGTTGCATGTGGCCTTGGCGCGTCGCGGCACTTGTCTCAACGACCTCGCGGCTTGCGTGCGTTACATGTCGCGTTGCGTGTCGTGTTGAATCGCGCTATGCGTGGGGCGTTGCGTGTGGCGTTGCGTTGCGTTTCGTTGCGTGTCTCGTTGCGCGTCGCGCGTTGTGCCGCGTGGCGTGTTCCATCACGTGTCGCGTCGCGTATCCAATTGCGTGGTGCAGCGCGTCGCGTATCGCGTTGAGCTCCACGGTTGCGGCGAAGTCTCAAGGCAAACATTTCACAAACCTTTAAAACGCCTTGAATCCTGATCTCGCCTTCCAGAGCTGATCCTCAACGACAAATCCGGCATGCGAGCCGTCGAAAAGGCCCGCTCATTCTACGAGACCTGCAAATCCCTCAGCAGTGACACCTTCCAGGCCGATCTTCACGAATTTGTGAAAACTCTCGGTGACATCCCCCTCATCGGTCAGAAGCGTGGTCCGGAGATGACGGTGATTCGAGTTTCCAAAATCTTTCTTATCCCTGTAGGTGAACCCGAGCTTCACCGAGTTGGTCGTCCACACGGTCCTCTACAGCTATGAATACAACTCTCGAGACAAAGGCTCGGAGAACGGGCTGATCGGGATTCGGGCTTCTGTGGCGGGAACTTATAAGGTAATTCGGGGTAGGAGTGGGCGTGGCCTTCCCCGAGCCACCCCGCTAATGAACAAGAACCGGTACTGACGGTAAAACGGCTATGGAGAGATTGAAGGCCTGATATTCGACCTCTCCCAATGACTGGCTCTGAACAGCTACCCAATTCGGTTCTGGGCTGTCAGCGGAGGGGCAGGCTCTGAGCGGGGGAAAGCAGATTTTTCCTTGTGGTCCTCTACGGCCCTATAACGAAATATTAACCATTTTTATAGCAATTTCCATGGCTTAAAAAAATCAAATTGTTTTAGATCTAAAAACAGGATAAAAAATAGCACAACTTCTCGAAATATTGGACTTTTAGTCAAAGAAAATACCTAAAAAAAGTTTACAAAGTTTTAGAAAAATTTTTATGACTTTTTATCAATCAAGAACTACTGAAAAAAAACTCCAAAAATACGTCATATTTCATTCATATGGGTAGACATCTATATCATGGGTACAGGTGGCGAAACAGAAAGTGGTTTTTCTCCCCTGCTAAACCCCCCCCCCCGCTAACAGTCCAGAAGCATCGGTTTTAGGGGGGGTCCATTCTAGCAACACCGAGCTCTATTAAAGCTCATAATAACAAACTGACAGGTGCTGTTCAACGAACCTGAGGGCGTTCTCTTCGGCTTCCCTTTCCCGCAAACTCAAAAGCTCACCGAATCGCTCCTCCGTTCCAAGCTCGAAGAGGTGCGTCTTGAAAAATCATTTGCTTGAACGATTGCGCTCCCTTCAGGCGCTAAAAACAGTCGAAAAACTGGGCTTCAACATCGCCAAAAGCGGGCGCGAGCAGATGGTCAACGAGCTCATCAAGTTTTATCGGCAACTTGTGCAGGTAGGCTCACTCAGGCTTCGTGTCAAGTTTTCCTTCTTTCAGATGTACGAAGATCGAAGCCACGAGCCGGTCAACCTGACGATTTCCGAGTTGCGCAGGGCGGCCCCGACGGTATCAGAAAAAATTGGAGCCTGAAAATCCCGTGCTACAGTACGACTGGAAGTACCTGATCGGCGTGCACTTGCCGGAGACGACGGAGGACACTGAGGTCGAGGTCAACTCGCTGGAGGACATCAAGGCGGTCAGTTTTTGGGGTATTAATTCTGAGTTTCCTGAGTGCTTTTCAGCTATCCAAGATTTTGCAAGAAGCCCCGCGCGATGTCCTCCCGAATTTCCTGTTCCTGAACTGGGCGCGCCATCTGTCGAAGCGAGACGTGTCTCGTGAGCGGCTTGGATGCCGGCGCAGGGTAGTAAAGACTTCAGAAAAATATGCTGTCTAGTTTTTTAGCTGCTCCACTACTTCTCGAAACTCACCGAGCACTTGGCCCTTGGGACGATCAGGTCGACGAGTGACGTCGAAGACGTTAGGGTTGGTTGACCGGGGTACCAACTTTTCCCTGGGATTCTCGACGGCCCAAATCTAAACCATTTATAGTTTTTTACATCGTTTTTAGATATAAAAACAATATCATAAATTAATAAAATTTTCGAAAAATCTTTGACTTTTGCCAACATGTATGAAAATGACCAAAAAAAGTTAGAATTTTCGAATTTTCAAAATTTCAAATTTTTTTAGGGCTTTCTAGCAATCGAAAACTACTAAAAATACTATAAAAATACATAATGTATCATCAACAGAAAATGCGGTACAGTTCGGATAAGCGGGGGAGGGGGGATTTTAGGCGGGGAACCAACTTTTTTTTGTCGGCCCTGGTGGGGATAGTAATAAAATATAAAGTGTATTCACATTGTTTTTAGCAAAATTTGAGCCTATTTGAATCGGAAAAACTTTTTAAAAAGTTAGAAAAACGCTTGAAAAGGTCGAAAATTTGGTCATTTTTGGGCTAAAAAAAAACGATTTTTCGACCTAAAATTAAATTTTTTAATTAAGTTTTGTAAAGTTTTTATGTTTAGGAATAGCTATAAACAATTTAGAAGCACTTCCACTATTTATATAAAAAATATAGGCTTGGGCGGAAAGTTCGGTCCCCCCCCGCCTAAAATGCCCCCGCTTATCCGAATTGTACCGAAAATGATTTTCCTCTCCTGCTATGACGCCAACCCGCTACGATCCGCTAGCATGACGATTTTCAGAACATCGGCAAGGAGATGCGCCACATCTTCCACGAGATTTTTGACGCGAACACCTGGTTGGAGCCGGAGACAAAGACCAAGCTCAAACAAAGGGTAATTTCCCGGTATTCCGTTGCCTGAAACCCACCTCCCAGTTCGACGACATCAAGCATCGCTACGGCTACAACACCCACGCGCTCGACCGGGAGCTCGTCGAGAAATTTTATGACTGGGTGATCAAGAAATTGGAAATAACTTTCGGAAATTTTAGGTGCCCACCCCGGAGAAGTGGAACCACATGTCGATGATGCGCTTTGAGGAGCGAGCGAATTGGTTTGTCGACAGAATGGTAGCGTAATTTTTGAATTTGTTGTCGTAATTTCTTAGTTTTTTCGACCGGAAAACCACAAATTCAGGACCTTCTCGGTGATCTGAACTACGAGCCTGCCCTCGACTTGAACGCGTTCAACCGGAACAACGAGGAGATCAGTGAGTTTTGCTTCCGCTAAAAAACTGTTCATCTCCAGTCATCCCCCTCGCCATCATCACCCTCCGTTCTACCATCCGGCCTGGCCGCTCGAGTTCAACTACGGCGGCATCGGCGAGATCATTGGCCACGAGTTGACGCACACATTTGATGACGTCTGTACGTCTTCAGCATGCCGTGGCGCTTGCTGCTAAACCGTAGACAGGGGTCAAACATTCCCCTTCTTCAGCCGACATGCCCCCGGGGAATGTGGGCAACGACACGGACGAGTACAAGGAAAAAGAGCAGTGCTTCACGGACCAGTTTGGAAACGTCGTCTACTCAAACCCAAGGCTCAATATCACCATTCAGGTTTCGGAAAATCGAGAAAGGAGAATTTGTCCTTTAGGCCGATGGTTTCAAACAGCACAAGGAGACGATCGCCGACAACAACGGGTTACGGGCGACTTGGAGGGTGGGTCATGGGTTTTGCAGCTTGCGTAACTGTCTAGATCTAGTAGATCAGGGGGTCGATAGTAGAACTTTGGCGCCCTTTAAGAGAAATTTATTCTAGGCCTACAAGGAGAAACGCCAGAAGCTCTACGGCCGCAACCCCCCGAAGCTGCCTGGCCTTCAGGAGTTCACCAACGATCAGCTCTTCTTCTTGGCCCATACCCAGGTTCTGTTATTTTCGAAAAGTTCCTGATTACACATTGAACTGCGTACCGCTACGACGTACTGACGCTCTTTAAGATACCCTAATTTTCAGGTGGAATGTGGTCGCCAGCCCACCATCTACGCACAATTCCGATATCACTGGATTGTCGCGTTGGTCAAGTTTTTTGCAGTAGCTTGAAGCTGCTGGTCATAGGCGTGAAAATTATGTAAATACTATTATATAAATTACCACAATTTCAGCGTGCACCCGGTTGGCAACGTTCGCATCAACGAGAAGCTCAAGAGCTTTGACAGCTTCGCCAACGCCTTCAAGTGCAAGGTAGGGGCAGGCGAGAGTGAGAGAGAAAGAGAGAGAGAGGCGGAGAGAGAGATCTTATCTTTGCCAGCTGAACTCGACGATGAACCCGACGAAGCCGGACTGCCGCATCTGGCGCCACTATCATTGAGCCGGCGGCATCGACTTCCACGTCCAAGAAGACAATTTCCCCATCATACTCGCCGATACTAACCCTATCCCAACCCCCTGACCTGCGCCGCTGTGACTGTTTCGTGGGGATGTGCCGGATAAATGTCTTTATAAATTACTTTTCCACCTTCACCTATTTTTTATTGAATAAACTTGGTTCGTACTCTATAGAATAAGGCGGATATTTTGGTATACCTTACTGCCGTGTAGCATCGAGGGCCCAGATAAAAATGTGGGAGCCGGCTGAAAAATGGGGTGTAACTCAGATTTGCCGACAATTTGCATCGTCTATAATTCAATAAATTTGGCAAATTAGCATGTGCGAAACGCAAAAAGGCATCATTATCTACGATGACCGCGAATCCAGCCAGCGCCCAGAAACAGGGTAAAAGATCATGGTATTTGATGCTGTTTACGCAAATTAGGCAACGATGCCTGCCGCTGGATGGTGATCCTTGGAATTGGGCTGTTGGCGTTGATCTTGTTGTCCGGTGAGAAGAACAACATTGAGAACAACGATTTTTTTAGTAAAATATGACTCTCAAGCTGACGGTGATCTACCGCATTCCGACCCTAATGCTCCTCCAAAGGTTGACACGGGCGCGGTATCAATTAACTCGTGTTTTCAAGATTTCATCTGATTTTTAGTATGACAACCTGTGCACGACGAAGGGATGTACGGAAGCCGCTGCTTCTATTGTCAGATCAGCTCAAATTTGATTATGACTTTTTTAGATCAGCAAAATGAACCCAGCCGTCGATCCGTGCGAGAACTTCCACGAGTTCGCCTGCGGAAAATACAATGATGTGAAGACCGCTTGAACCTTTTGAACATGCTTTAGCAACACGACTATAATGTTTGGCAGGGGAGTCGTCGGAAGTTGGTGCAGCAGTTGCTAGGTATTTTCTCGGACTTGTTGGACTAAAGGGGTGGTGACAGTATTAGATACTACAGGAAAGGGTTGCCACCCCCCAATAACGGATAAGTACCTAATTTAATCTCCATTTTGCCATTTTCAGAACTGATCCTCAACGACAAATCCGGCATGCGAGCCGTCGAAAAAGCCCGCACCTTCCACGAGAACTGCGAGATGCTCAAAAACGCAAATTTCACCGCCGAACTCCACAAATACGTCAAAAAATTTGGCGAGCTGCGCTTGATTGATCAGAAACTGGAAGCGGGAATGGTACTTTTTATGGGATTTCGCCGCAAAAAAAAACCTTCTTAGGAGATGCCCAGCATCACCGACACGGCCCTCATGTCCACCCTGCACTATTACCAATACAACAGTCGCGACACTCGTAACGACAACGCCTTCTTCTCCATCAACGCCAACATCGAGGAGTTTCTTTTGGTGGGCCAGCGTAGGCTTTGGTTTGGGCTTGGGCTTAGCCTTGGCGTAGCCCTAAGCTTGGGCTTAACTTATTAGGCTGCTTAGGTTTAGCTTCAGATAAGCCCAGCCTTAGCTTATTAGGCTTAGCTCTGACTAGACCTGAGTTCAGTCGAGCCTCACTCAATCTTAGGATTTGCTGAAATTCCGCCAGGTTTAAGCTTAGCTTGGGATTGGCTTGGGCTTCGCTTAAGCTTAATTCAGGCCCAGCTCTGGATTAGCTTAGGCTTCTAAGTTTTACGCTAACCTCTCTTCAGGTCCAACTCAACCAACCCGGCGTCGTGCTGTTCGACTTCAGCCGAAGCTTCGTCAAGGTCATCCTGGAATCCACAGTTCGTGACAGGGTCGAGGAGGTACCGCGGCTTTTGTACTTCCCCAAGACCACGGATTTAGGCCGTCGCGGCAGTCGAAGCGTTAGGTTTCACCGTCGGCAAAGAGGGGCGCAAGGAGAACGTCGACGGGCTGGTCACGTTCTACATGAAGATTGTCAAGGTTTGGAAGGGATGCCATCGATAATCAAGGGGGTTTTTTCAGCTGCACCAGGGCTGGAAATACAGCAACGACCGGTCGACGATAGGCGAGCTGCAAAAAGCGGCGCCGGCGGTGGGAATCTAAAAGAGCTTCATCTTCAGCTTCATCTCCATCTACAGTTTGATTGGCTGCGCTTGCTCGGCTCGTACTTACCGCATCGACGCCAGGAGATGAACGGCGAGACGGAGCTGGCGGTGATGAATATGCAGAGTATCGGAGGGGTAATGATTTCGAGTCTTAAACTTATCAAAGGCGATTTAGCTTTCGGAAGTCCTGCTCGAGACGCCGCGGCATGTCGTCCAGAATTTCTTCTTCCTGAACTGGGCCCGGCATTTGAGGGATCGCTTTGAGAATCGTGGCAAAATGGCCTGCAAAAGCAGGGTAAGAGAAAGAGAGATCAAGTAGAACGCGAGAGAGATACAGCGAAGAGAGACTGAAACTCCCGAAGTTTCCACTTATTCCAGCTCCTCTACACCTTCCGAAAACTTGCCGAACACCTCGCCATCGGCACCATTCGGTTCGAGAGTGATGTTGAGGACGTAAAGGTTGGCCTGAAATTTAAAATTTAGTTCTGAAAAAAATCCAGAACCTCGGCAAGGAGATGCGCCGTGTTTTCCACCAGATTTTCGACGAGAACACGTGGCTGGAGCCGGAGACGAAGGCCGTGCTGCACAAGAGGGTATCGGAAGGCTTTTCGACATCAAATTTATGGTTCCAGCTCGACAACGTCAAGGAGCACTACGGCTTCAGCACCCATGCGCTGGACAAGGCCAAGATTGACGGCTTCTACGAGGCGGTGGGTGCTGTCTGATACCTTCCCCTCAACTACCTTCAGCTGATCCTGCCCGACAAGTGGGGCCTGATGGAGATGTGGCAATTCGAGGAACGCGGCTCGTGGTTCGTTACCCGGCTGGTAGACGTTCAGACGCGTCTATAATTCATGGCACGCAGAATTTGATGGGCACCTTGGGGTACGAGCCGGCCATGGAGTTCAATGCGTTCAACTCCAATGATGTGAAAATTAGTGGGGGAAGGTGCCCGGTTGTTAAGTAGTTAATTCTCAGCCATCCCACTCGCCCTCATCACCCAGCCGTTCTACAACCCGACCTGGCCGCTCGAGTTCAACTACGGTGGCGTCGGCGAAGTGATCGGCCATGAATTTACGCACACTTTTGATGATCAAGGTAATTTTTTGGACCTGAAAAAGCCAAGCTTGTAGATGATCTACCGGACGGAAATGTGGGCAACGACACGGACGAGTATCTGGAGAAGGAGAAGTGCTTTGTCGATCAATTCGGAGGTGTCATCTACGGGAATGATCGTCTGAACATCACCGTCAAGGTCAGCGGCCACGGGCAAAAATAGGAGTCGATGTTTACAGGCCGATGGAAATGTTCAGCACAAAGAGACGATCGCGGACAATAATGGGCTCCGTGTGGCTTGGCGGGTAGGGTTTTAATGTCGTGATCACTCACTCACGCTCTCTCTCTCTCTCTTTCTCTCTCTCTCTCTCTCTCTCTCTCTCTCTCTCTCTCTCTCTCTCTTGTTTAACTGCTCATTTCTAGGCGTACCTCGAAAAACGCAAACATCTCTACGGCCGCAACCCGCCGAAACTTCCCGGACTCCAAGAATTCACCAACGAGCAACTCTTCTTCTTGGCCCATAGCCAGGTAAGCATCTAAAAATATAATTACCTTTTTTAGATCGAATGCGGACGCCAGCCACGCATCTACCCAAATCAGGATCACGACTGGGTTGGCGAGTTCGTGGAAAGGCCAGGGCTTCCCAACAAGAATTTAGGTTCCACCCGGTTGGCGACGTTCGCATCAATGAGAAGCTGAAGAACTTCAACAGTTTCGCCACCACTTTCAAGTGCAAGGTGAGCCAGAGAGAGAGGGAGATTGATAGAGAGAGAGAGTGAGAGAGAAAGAGAGATAAACACCTGTCTTTCAGTTGAACTCGAAGATGAACCCGGAGAGGAAGTGCAGGGTGTGGCGCTACTACCACTGAAACCACCGTCAAATAAGATGATGTGGCCCCTGAGAAGCATCTAGCCCTCACTACGCGCAAGCAATGAACACACCCCGTTGTATCACTTTGTATCTGATTTGCCGGAATAAACAATGCTGTGCTAAAATTGCGAAGAATTTGCTATTCTGTACTTGCTGAAAATGCCAAATTTTTCCGGTTTTTTACTTGTTCATCAAGATTTAAACCCATTGAAAACACTACAAAATACGCTCAAAACGCTCAAAATTTAACGCTAGGCATGGGCTTGGGCTCTTTTCCACATCCGGTAGGATCATCCACTAACAGTCCAGTGATTTACATAAATCTGCATGTTTAAATTTTCATAAACGCGTTGAAAAAAATTCGAGACAATCGCGATTTCTGGCTTCTTCGCCTTCCAGAATGGAGGCTACATCTGATACCCGGGAAAGAGGTAGAACGAAATAGAGATGTATTTATGCAAATCAAGGCAACGATGCTTGCCGCTGGACGTTCTTCGTCGGCCTCGGCGTGTTGGCGCTGATCTTGTTGGCGGGTCAGGGTCTCTAAAAAACGTATGATAAATTTTTCAGTCCATTTCGAGCCGAACGTGGCCTCGGCCCAGCAAAAATTGGACCCCCGCGCCCCGCCTGGGATCGACCAAGGCTCAGTGGGCCTTGAAATTGCTTTACTGTCACGGCCTCCTAAAAATATCCCAAAATTCACATTCCTTTTTTTTAGAACGAAAACCTGTGCACGACGATGGGCTGTACGGAGGCGGCCGGCCTGGTGGTGAGTTGCTACAGGGCAAAAGTTTATTTGATTTTTAGATCCATAACATGGATCCGACGGTGGACCCGTGCGAGAATTTCCACGAATATGCATGTGGAAAATATAATCAGGTGGAGAAAGTATTTTGACAAATTAAAAACTTTTTTAGAAAAACGCCATAAATCTGTGGGACAGGACGCAAGGGGTGCTGCGGCAGCAACAATTGGGTGAGCCAAAAGCTATGAGAAGGAGAGAGGGAGAGAGAGAGAGAGAGAGAGAGAGAGAGAGAGAGAGAGCGGGCGAGAGAGCGAAAGGTCGAGCACAATGGAAACTACCTTTTCCAGATCTCATCCTCACCAGCAACTCGACCATGTCGTCCGTTGAAAAAGCAAAATCCTTCTATGAAGCCTGCCGAGCGTTGGGAACCCGAAAGTTCAACACTGATTTTCGCGAGTACATCAAGAAGTTTGGCGAACTGCGACTCATAGATCAGAAACTGGAGCCGGGAATGGTCCGAAAATACAGATATCTCAACCAAAAATCCCTCTAGAAAATGCCGAGCCTGACCGACTCGATCCGCTTGGCCACCCTGTACGATTACCAGGGCGGCGACAGCTACTTCCACGTCCACAACACGTTCATCGGTATCCAGGCGACGTTGGTCCCGGATATTACGGTAGATGGAAAGTTTCAAATGTAGATTTTTGGTACCTAGATATGGTTCAACAGCCCGGAGCATTTCATGTTTGATGAAGGGCTCCACGCCCTTGCCGCTGACGCCCAGGAGCTGGGCACGAAAATCGAAAAGGTAGGCGAGCTGGCACTGATTCTTTAGGACATAGCTTTTGTTGCGACAATTTTCAGATCTTCGCGAGAGTCGAAGCACTTGGCGTAAAGATCCCCGAACATGGGCGCCAGGAGAAGGTGAACGAGCTCGTCAAGTTTTACGACACACTGGGAGAGGTCGACATTCCTTGAGAAAAGTAGATGTTCATGTTTGTTTTAGGCCTACGAAAACCAAAAGAAACTCATCCCAATGCCCACCGCGTTCAGTCGGTTCACGATCGAGGAGTTGCAGAAGGCGGCGCCGGCGGTTGGTTTGAAAATTACTTCTTTTAAAAGGGTGGGCAAGGTAAAAATATGAATTTTCCTCCAATAGGTTTTTTATTGATCCTCACCACCAGGTCGCTTCGCGGGGTTTCGCGCGGCGCGTGTTGCGGGCGCCCAAAGACCCATGGCCGTCCCTACCAGATCCTTTTAATACGACTCATCTTTTTTGCAGTACGACTGGCTACACTTTATCGGTTCCCATCTACCGAAAGTGGTGCGTGACCGCATCGATAGCCAGACGTCAGTTCGCCTACACGCGCCGCTGAAGAACTTGGAGAAGGTCAGCGTGTTTCCGATGATGCTGGAAATGATATGAACATATTGACCGCGTCGTTTTCAGCTCTCAAAAGTCCTGCTCGACACCCCGCGGCATGTCGTCCAGAATTTTCTGTTCATGAACTGGGCCAAGGACCTGGAGCCGAAGCGGAAGGAGCGGGGGGATGACTGCAAGGAAAGGGTTGGTGACGTCTACCCGGGCGAAAAAGAGATTAAAGGCGCTTTAAAGGGATGGGCAAGGCATTTTTCCTATGGATTCTGTTGTCATCCTTATGGATTAGACGAGCCTTAACATCGATATACCTTGTCAGGTGCTCAACCACTTTTCCAAACTCACCGAACACCTCGCCATCGACACAATACGGCCAAAATCTGATGTAGAAGAAGTTAGGGTTAGTGTCAGTCAGATTGTCAAAATTCGACACAACCCCAGAGGCTCGGCGACGAGATGCGAAGCATGTTCCACACGCTTTTTGACGAGAACACCTGGCTGAGCGACGAGTCGAAGGCGTTTGTCAAGAAAAAGGTTGGCGCCTTTGTTAAAAAATTCTTCCCTTATAGCTGGACCAAATCGACGTCAAGTACGGCTACAATCAAAACGCCGTCGACGCCGAGCAGGTCGATGCCTTGTACGAGAATGTGGGTTAACACTAAGCGCAACTTAACCCTGTTCAGCTCCAAATCCCCGCCAAATGGAACCACCTGGAGCTCATGCAATTTGAGGAGCGAGCCGAGTGGCTGGTTTTTGATTTGGTACGATGTTCGAAGTTTGGAAAATAATGCCGAAACCAGAAACTAAACGGTGATCTCGGCATGGAGGAGCCGCTCTTCATCAATGCGTTCAACCGCCGCGGTGAGCAGATTGGTGGGTGTCAAGCTAAAGAGGATAATTTGAATGTGCAGTCATCCCCCTCGGCATCATCACCCAGCCCTTCTTCGACGCCACCTGGCCGATCGAGTTCAACTACGCGGGCATCGGCTTTGTGATGGCGCACGAGCTTACTCACTCGTTCGATAATGCCAGTAAATTTCGAACTCTAACTCTGTAACGCGATTAAAACCCACTTTTTAGCCGACCTCCCCGACGGGAACCCGGGCAACGACACCACCGAGTTCCTCGTCAAGCAGCAATGCCTCGTCGACCAGTTCGACGTCAACTACACGAACCCTCGGCTCAATGTCACGTTGCAGGTGGTGTACGCTCTGATACCGGGGCGAGAAGTCAGTGGCTTTAGGTGGATGGCTATTCGCAGAAGCCGGAGACGATCTCGGATAATAATGGGCTGCGCGTGGCGTGGAGGGTACGGTGGTTTTTTATAGCTTTGGAAGGCTTAGGGTGCGTTTACACCGAGTTCCATTCGCTATGCCGAATTTTTACTCTCCCAAATTCTAGCCCTCGGAAGTCCCTTTAAATCCAAATTTCCAGGCGTACCTTGAGACACGCCGGAAGCTCTACGGCCGCAACCCACCGAAGTTGCCCGGGCTGAAGCAGTTCACCAACGATCAGCTCTTCTTCCTGGCCCACACCCAGGTATCGACCAGCTCTATATTTTTAACGCCCTTGACCTATTCTCCCGTGAATTTCATTTTCTTTCCAGATGTACTGTGGCCGACAGCCGACGCTCTACTCTCCCGCTGACGGCTGGAAGTTCAACGAGTAAGTCAGAGAATTATCGTCAAGCTAGTGTTCGCCACTCCAGCGTCCACCCCGAGAACAGCGTCCGCGTCAACGAGGAGCTCAAGAACTTTGAGCCGTTCGCCGTCGCTTTCCAGTGCAAGGTCAAACTACTGGTTTTTTTGCGTTTTTCATGGAAGCTTGTTTTCATTTCTCCTTGTCTTTTCCAGCTGAACGCGACGATGAACCCGGACCGCGAGGAGTGCAGAATCTATCGTCACCGCAACCGATAAACCTGATGGAGAGCAAAAACCCCTATGAAATGACCGAAACGCCTCACTTTTTTTGTCATATTCTGTGTTTATTTTTTTCACTACTGAATAAAGGGTCTGGTCTGGATGTCTCTCTTTCTGGCTCTGTCTTTCTCTCTCTCTCTCTCTCTCTCTCTCTCTCTCTCTCTCTCTCTCTCTCTCTCTCTCTCTCTCTCTCTCTCTCTCTCTCCTGCTCTCGCTTTAGCTCTATCTCTCTCTCCAGCTCTCACTCGGTGTATACCTCTTTCTCGCTATCTCTCGCTCTCGCGGTAACTAGCTCTGATCTCTCTCTTCTCTCTCTCTCTCTCTCTCTCGCTCTCTCTCTCTGTCGCACTCTTTCTTCTCGCCTTTCTTAAGCACTACCGATCCTTTTTTTTATTATCCGACTTTTTATGTATATAATCCTCAAGCCCTTATCAGCCTAACCAGATGCTCCATCAGAATTTCGGCAAATTTTGGGCATGCGCTAACTGGTGGTGGATACCATGCCTCACTTGACGTCACCTAAAGCTGGAAACTGCAAAATACTTAATGGTTGTACCGATCCGAGAAGATCTTCTATCGCAAGAATTGCCATATCTTTTCCGCAATCATTTGAAAGTTTCGAACGTTCCGCCACGCTACAGTCGACGAATGTTTGGAAGGCTCTAGAAAACGATAGTTTATAACGAGAGAGAGAGAGCGAGAGAGATAGAGAGCGTGGGAGCGAGAGAGAGAGAGAGAGAAAGAGATAGAAAGAGGGAAACCCCTTCAAACCCACCCGCAGTTATTCTGGAGTTGATTCCGCTGCTAATCTGGAACCTGCATGATGCACTTTAAATCCGCGGCATCAATCGCGGGCCGGTTACTGGACTTGCATTGCTGATAGACGTTTTCGGCGTCGTTTGCTGTAATTCGAATTGATCTGTATTTTTTATACCATTTTTTTACTTTTGCATAGTTTTTTTTAATTCCAAGTTACCCTTCTTCTCCACGAATTCTCGGCCATTGCAAAATTTTTCCTGACGATAATTTGCGTATGCTTTCACGCATTCCGAGCAATTGGCCGCGCTGTCAGGCCAGAATCTGAAAAGAAGCGCTATGGTAACAGGCCTAAAGACGAAAGAAATTATTTAAATAAAACCCTTACTGGCAATTCAGCTTCCCAAATCGGTCCAGACTGCTGTCACTGTCGAGGTATGCAAATTGCTCCTTGTAAAGACATTTATTCTACAAATTGGTGAATTTTAGTAAGTTTATAAAATAGCTTACAAATTCGTTAAGGTCGCATTGTAGGGTCAATCCTCTCGAGACTGACAATACCAGGAAAACTGCAAGAGATCGAAATATCATCGGAGTATCTCGGAAAGTGGCCGGCAAACGATAGGAAGACACATTTATCGGGCCGAGTCAAGGTCGACCCTAGGTTTTCGAGATTATGAAAAATGTGATCGAGCGATGCGTTGAGAATTGCTGATTGCTAACAGGAGCAAGAAAAACAGTTACTCTGTTTCTGTTTCTGTCGCTATTTCTCTACTCTCTCTCTCTTTCTCTCTCTCTCTTTCTCTCACTCTCTCTCTCGGAACTGGTTCTCTATCTACAAAACAATACTTCACAACTTTGGCATCAGCATTACGATATTAAGCTTTATTTACATATCTTCAGAAGTATTATTCTGATTTAGTGTTATCAGCCTTTCCATCGGGATATCGAGAAACGTCTCGCACGTTTCATCAAGTCAGTCTGGTACCAAGGGCCAGGATCTGTGAAAAGTCTGGTCGGAAAATTGTCGAGTAACGGAAAGGTGTAGGTATCGACCCCTAAGGTCATTTAGGCATGGATAAAGTAAGCTCTAACTTTGGCTGCTAAAATGGACTAGTAGGCGCAATAAATAGAAACGTCAGAAAAGTTTTTCCAGTTCAATTTTTGAGAAGCTTGAGCTTGAGAGAATGAGAACGAGCTTACTGGCAATAAAGTTTTCCAAGGCCTTCCCACTCGTTTTGCACGTCTCTCTTTATCCGCAAACTCTTTATCATACAAGCAACTGCGCTAAATTTGGTTACTCTAACTCATGTGAGAACTGACATACAAATTCATGCGGATCGCACTTTACAGTAGCGGATAAAAAGTATTGGGATTTTTTATTTTTGACAAAATCTCGAGAGATTTAACACGAGGTGAGCTCAAAAGTTGGTCCCTAGTAGAATTCAAGATGCTTTTTCAAATGCAATATGTTAAAACCGGTCACTCCATAGTACAAGAAAATTAGGAGAAAATTTCAAAAAAGCTCGACGACAAAAGTATTGGGATTTTTCGTTCTGAAGCCTAGAAAATGAGCAGGTAGCCTGGTAGAGCTCTTTCATTGATGCAAAGGGGCCAACTACAGTTGAAATTTGCTTTTCTCATAAGTGATTCAATCCCGGAAACGCTGAGGAATTTTTTTGAAAATCTCGATTTTACTATGAAAATTTGCTTTTTTCCCTCTAACTCTTTGAATATAGTTTTAATGCCGGTTTGCTCTATAAATTCGGATAGAGCAGCTTAAGACGAGCATTTCGATATGCTATAGTCACTAGGAAACACGCTCCTCACAGAGTTACTTAGGGCCTAATCTTTCAGTCGGCGGCGTCCGTAGCAAAATGGGGGCCCTATCTATGGAAAGGACCAAACCCCGGTGCACAGAACTGGGCCTTCTCTATCTGCCGGGGCATGGCGAAAAACTATGGACATGCATATACGAAAATGATCGCCCTGAAGTGCTCTCTCCGAATATATAGAGCAAACCGGCATTAAAACTATATTCAAAGAGTTAGAGGCAAAAAAGCAAATTTTCATAGTAAAATCGAGATTTTCAAAAAATTCCTCAGCGTTTCCGGGATTGAATCGCCTATGAGAAAAGCAAATTTCAACTGTATTTGGCGCTTTTGCATCAATAAAAGAGCTCTGCAAGGTTACCTGCTGATTTTCTAGGCTTCAGAACGAAAAATCCCAATACTTTTGTCGTCGAGCTTTTTGAAATTTTCACCTAATTTTCTTGTACTATGGAGTGACCGGTTTTAACGCATTGCATTTGAAAAAGCATCTTGAATTCTACTAGGGACCAACTTTTGAGCTCACCTCGTGTTAAATCTCCCGAGATTTTGTCAAAAATAAAAAAATCCCAATACTTTTGTCCGCTACTGTAACTCCCAGCCCGCGCTAGCAATTCCAAAATCAAATATGATGCTCAGAAATGGAAGAATCATTTGAGAAGTATGAGCAGAACGCCGGAGGAAAATCTCGTAGTAAGCCCGGGATAAGTCAACGATATCAAAACGGCGGTTCTCTCGGACTCAGAATTTTTTTTTGAAAAATGTGGTCTGCAACTTTGGGTACCCGAAATTGATGATTGATCGTTTTTGCGCCGGTCCATGCTAAAAGGAAGAATCAGCAAAGAGGAGGAATTTTGCCAGTTTATTTTTAATACAATTGATTCAACGACAACCCCAGTGATCGCTATGCCAATTCCACTACTTCGCCATCATATCGTTTGTATCGTTCAGCTTTTTCGAGCAGCGTGTCCAAGAAGGTGTCGCAAATTGGGGTGTCCTCAGACAATGAGATGAAACCCATCATGACCTAGAAAAATGAGTATATTTCTGACATACGGATTTTTTCTAACCTAGATAAAACTTGATCCCAATTTTAGAACTTACATTCGTGAAGAGCGACTCGTACCACATGGCCGCCAGAATTTTGCCACAGTCCCCGCGGATCGCCAGCCTTTTTTGTGATAATACAGTCAACGAATTTTGGCCAGATTCTAAAGGTTGACATTTAAGCGCGATCAGGTAATACCGTAAGTAATATAGGTGATCGGCCGTGCTTTCTTAAAGAACAAACTTGCAATCCATCTGCGGATTCTCGCGCTGCTCAGGCGGGTACATTGCCTGACATGTTGCCTTGTCCTCCTCGATCTTCGTATCGTGATGCTCGTGGCATTTTTCAACCTGCTTGTCGAAGTCTTTACCTAGAATTAGGCTTTCGAAGTCTCTCTCTATATCTCTCTCTTTCTCTCCCTCTCTTTTGTTAGATTTAACCCACCATCTCGCAATTTTTTACCATCGCAAAAAGCTTCGGCTCGGAACTTGGCCAAACCCAGAGCACATGGTGCACATTTTTCGAGGGTTGTCTTTGTGTTTCTGAAGAGTTTTGTGGAATCTTTCTATACTTTTTATCACAGAAACCTACTCGCAATGTTTCTGAGTCACCTCCTCAAGCGTTTCTCCGAATTGGCTTGGGTCACTGATGAGGCATTTTTGCTAAAAGAGGAGATTAAGCTGTGATCCGAGAAATGGAGGCAGAGAGAGGGAGAGAGAGAGAGAGTAAGAGAGAGAGAGAGAGAGAGAGAGAGAGAGAGAGAGAGAGAGAGCGAGACAGATGGAAACTTCGAATACCTACATATTGCTGGACGCCACAACGTCCGGCTTGTAGTGTAGGCCCAACATAAGCCAACAATAAAATCACCGCCACCCTGGGGATCATTTTGAGGAAGTGAACGCGGACCCAGGCGTAAAATGAACATCCATGCACCGAGAGAACCTGGCTTTTTTCAGGGCATCAAGGCCATTTCTCTGGAACAGCCGCCTGCACGCGCTGGTCTTGATGGAATTTTGGTTCCTGTTTACAACTTTTTATATTGTTCAAAAAGAAACAGCAGTTTGCGCTTAAAAAATGCTAAATATTTGTGGCAAGGTTTGAATAGGGTTTGATGAAATTATGGCGCGTTAATCGCAACAGATAATTTTACAAAACTTTGTAGTTGGAAGATTTCTAGGAGGTTCTAATTGTAATTTTAAAATTTAATTAAATATAATTTTTTTTGCTTTTTGGAAGCCGAAGATTTAAGCATAGGTTTAGGTTAAGTTCGCTATGGGATAGAAAACCTGAAACAGAAGTATATAAAATAGAAAATCGGAGGAAGGGAAATTAGATTACGTACAATTTTTCGATTTTGTTAATAAGCTATTTTTCGAAGTCTAAGCAAGGAATTCGTGGTAGCTTTGAATATTTTTAAGTATTCTTATGTAAATTACAATGTGATTAAATAGCTGAATAAACCATTTTTTATCTTTCCCCATTAAATACAAAATTGAAATTATCCGGAGGATTTTTAGCTATTTTTGGGTTCAGCAAGTTAAATAGGCTATATTAATTTTTACAATTTGACTATTTTAATGCTTGATTGTGCAAATCACAATGTAATTAAATAGCTGAATAAATTATTTATCACATTCCCCCATAATATACAACATTAAAATTATCCTGGCGGCACATAACCACGAATCTGCGCCTGAATCCCGCCAATAAAAAGCGCAAGTCGGACGCCATCGCGCCGTTGGTGCTGTTGCGTTCGTTGATCAGCAGCTTCATGCTCAAGGGGCCGAAATCGGATCTCGATCGTCTCCACCTCCCTTCTTCCCGCCTTCCACTCCTCCACAACCCGCTGCATGTACTCGCGAAGTTGGGCGAGTTGCAGCGTCGAAGAGTAGAACGACATCCTCGGCAAGTTAAATCTCAGACAATCCATGATATTTGGCTCGTCGGTGATTCCAAGGAAATTTGTGGTAGCCTTTATCCTTTCTTCCATTCCTACGCAACATTGTGCGTTGGAGATTATTAAACTATCATAACCGCCATCCGGCATCATCGCTTCGTACAATTCTTCCACGTTTTCCATGGGCCCGCAGAGCTGTAGATACTTTGTTTTCAGCCCGGGCAGCCAAAAATTTGGCATCCCGACGAACACCCGCTCGACAGTAGCATTCGAGAACAGCAATTCTTGAGTGGTTCGGCTAGAAATATCGTGAATTGGAGCTCTTCGTCGTGTCTCTTGGCTCAGGAAATTCAACGGGGTTCTCGTCACCCTCGTCAATTTCATGTTAGCGTGGACGGTCGGAGTCAGCTCCCAGATCCGTCTGCACGTCTTCGCGTACCGGAATCGGTTTTTGGGACTGAACGCGCCGACGTAGAACAGGATTCGCTCGTGGATTTCGGCGGGGAGGTGTTCGAGGGATGTTGTCTGAAAATAGTGCGTTTTTTCGCGTTATCAATTCGATATCCTGGATTCGTTAATCCAGATTTTGCAAATGGCGGGGAAGGTTTAACTTAAATTAACCAAATCTTTAACATGGAAAGTCAGTTTTTCGGATAAAATTCATCGCGTTCGATATCGGCACGTTTGTATTTGTATGAAAATCAATTATGATACGAATATTCGTATTCGTAATTTTTTTAGAAATAAATGCTTTGCCGTAACTCTATCAACAATTGGATATTATGAAAATAATTTTACGAGGACGTCATTTAAAGACTTACACTATTCGAAAGACTCAGGCTTGGCTCGAGATCAAGCCTGAGTGCAGGCATCTTTTCAGCTATTTCTTCGGTTTCTTGAACCATGTTGTCTATCTGAAAGTTGCACACGGTATCCTAGAATACGCTGAATCCGAAAAGCGTCAGAAGGCAATTTTAGCGGATAGCTTGTTGGCCAGCAGGGCAATACTTTCACACGCGTCTGGAACGAATTTTCAGGACAGCAGAGACGTATCGATTAGATTGCCACAACTATTCAAACATATGCGCATTAATGGGCGGCAAGGATAGTGGGCTTTAACAAATTCCAATTCTTCAGTTGTATGGCTGAAAAAAGAAATGTCCAGAATAGCATTGGGCCAATTTTTAAAAGTCGGTTTTTGACATGAGATGACATAACGAAATTTGGCAAGTAATTATTAAGGAGGAAACATTCGAATTTCGTTTATTTTCCTAAAAATCATTTTAGCTAAATTCTTTTTGCCTAAAAAATCGCAGATCTGCCGATTTCGCTGCAGCCATCTAGGTTCCAAGAAGCTTCAGTTTCCATGCCGGTTCAAAAGAGCCATAAAAATATCAAGCAGAGAAAACGATAAATATTTTTAGTGGAGGATGATTTTAGAAAATTTAATGTAAGCCCGGACTATTCAATGCGAGATGAAATTCCCTTTTTGTGTTTTGTGCAGATCGCCGGCCTTTTCCTTTACGCAATTTATTGACGAGGTCAGAGACGCAGAGGAAAAGTATGGCTCCCTCCTTCGGTCCATCCCTGGCTCGAAGAAAATCTCAAAAGCTGTTCGAATTAAATTTAGATAAAAGTGTACTCTCTGACCTTGTTCGTCTTGACGTTTTAGGTGTAGACAGTGTAAAATGCCGTTATATCCCACAGAAGGATATGGATTCAATTCCTTTATTTGCATCTGCACATACATACGTCATTCATACATTTTGTTATTTTTATAATTTTTCAACGAAAAACACACGGCTTTGACAGTTTTTTCTTGTGTTTTTTTTTTGCTTTCGACATTTGGAACACTGAGCACCAGGATATGCAATACTTTGAAGGACAAAATTGGTGGCAACTTGGGAATCGGATTTTGATCGGCTGAATTTGAGGCCCCCAAGTGACCACCCGGCTATATTATGCCTTGAAAAAAAATCGATTGTTTTAAAAGGAAAAGGCCACAAAATGGATACGATCTGCAACCAGTACGCGCGAATTTGTAGCAACGATTTTTGAGGGCGGGGACACGAGGATAAGTGAGTTTGCAAAACCGGTTCGGCAAAATTCAAATTTTCAAAAGGAGAATTTGGTCATAGTACTGTCCTGGCGGTGAGCAATATAAATTACCATAAAAACCCAAGCTAAGGAAAGGATTTGAAGGAGAATTAGTAGCACTCTATATCGTACCAGAAGCGTCGAAAATCGTTCTGAGGGGTAAATCTCGTGGGGGGGGGGACGAGTTGAGCAAGTTCAGGGGAATTTGGAAGAGGTTTTGGTGATTAGACGATCTCCATGTGACGCGGCTTCTCCTGGGCGATGGCTTGGATGAGCTGCAAAAAAATTTGCATCTTCTATGATCATCAAATTCATCGACTCTTACAAGGAGCCGTTTTTGAGTGTCGTCGGGACTTTGGCACCGGACCAAACCTATCTTGTGCAGAATTTTACGCTGATTCCGAATATGTTAACCGTTTTTGCGGAATCGCCATTTCTCCTAGGTTATGAATGATTTAAACCCCAAAACAGCCCAAAAACGGCTACTTTCGATAGTCATAAAACGCTTCGGAATAGGTTTTAGACTATACTTGATAGTGCATCTTGTTCAGAAAAAAATTCGCTATAAAATAAGCTACTTAACTCAAAAATGCTGGAATTTTGAAAATTTTTGTAAAATTATGATGGACCCCAATTTATCAAATTTTTCCAATTTTTGAATGATTTTGGAAAAGATGGTACATTTTATAGAGAATTTTTTTCTGAACATGATGTACTATCTGGTTTTGTCTAAAACCTAATCCGAAGCCTTTTTATGACTATCGAAAGTAGCCGATTTTGGGCTGTTTTGAGGTTTAAATCATTCATAACTTTCGAGAAATGGCGATTCCGCAAAAACGGTTAACATATTCGGAATCAGCGTAAAATTCTGCACAATATAGGCTTGGTCCCGTGCCAAAGCCCCGACGACACTCAAAAACGTCTCCTTGTTAGCCAAATAAAAAGTCATCAAAATCAAAAATTCATAAAATTCTGACTCGGATCAAAATCCGAAAACAATATTTTTGGTTTTTTTTTGATGATGCTATTTTCGAATTTCATATAGATTTTTGCGTGCAGATCACCTTATGTCTGTTCTGCTTCGGCCGCACGAAACACGTCCAAAACAACGGGATCAGCGCGAAAGCCGACAGCTTCAGAATCGTGGACGTACTTAAGGAGCCGAAATCAACATTTCCTACAAAATTCTCACCTTAAAATATCGTCCCACGACTTCAGGTCGGCCAAGATGATGCCCGCCTGCACGCAGATGATGTTGTACGGTGCCAAACCTGCAAGAATTATCGTAATCAATACAATTTCACTAAATCTGGTCGGAACTCCTTGAAGTTGGCGTTACAGTTTTTGCGTTCCTTTGAAAAAATTTCCTTAAAAATTTCATGGCACCTAGCCTGACCTACTTGAAGTTCTCGAGAGCGTAAAATGCGCTCAACTGGCTACATATTTGAAAGGTGTGATCTGAACTCCTTGAAGTTCTCAGCAACGTCAAAAGAGCTCAAGTCAGTGATGTTGGCATTTTTGAAAACTATGACCTGAACTCCTTGAAGTTATCGGTAAAACAAAAAAGCCTAGAATAGCCCGAACTCCTTGAAGTTCTATGCCAAGAGCAGCTATACCGAGTCGAAAACTAACCAAAGAAGGCGGTAATGGCAAATATCCGCAGTGGGATATTCAAAAACGGCGCAACGATGTTCAGCAACCATGACGGGGAGATCGGGAATATTCGGGCGAACAGCAGGAACGGGATTAGACGATTCGAGTTGTCGTCAATCTGAAAAAGTTCAGAGACTGCGGCCACACATCAATGAGATAACTGCAAAAAGCTTGGTCACGAACCTTCTGCTGGAGATACGTGAGCTTTTGGCCGAAGTAGTAGAGGACGTACTCGCGGCCAAACAACTCTGAGAACAGGTAGCACAAGCTCGACCCGACGGTCGTCAGGAAGCAGCACATCACCACGGCGGGCCAGAAGCCGAACACGGCGCCGGCGATGACATTCTGGAAGGCAGGGGTTCTTACCTTAGTTTTTGGCTTATTTCCGGAAAAGTATGCCCTTACACCATTTACGTAGTGCTTCTAGACCTTAAAATTGTCTGTTGTCGAGCTTTTTCTGTGATTCCGCAAAGCTACGTTTTACGCTACACCATTGTCCTATTTACACAGTGTTTTCTGCACTACTTTTTCAGCTATTTCATTGCCTTTTCGGTGATTCCGGAAAGCTACGCCATGACACTACACTGGAGTCCTATTTACACAGGGCTTTCTGCCGTCCTTTTTTAGCTTTCGTAGTTTTTTCGGCAATTCCGTTCAACTACGTTCTTATGCTACACAGTAGGCCTACATAAGTAGCATTTATTAACTACTTTTTCAGCTATTCCATAACTTTATCAACGATTCCGTTAAGCTACGCCCTTACGCTACACCGTATTCCTATTTACAGAGCTTTCTTAATGCACAGGTCATCCATTTCTAAACGTTTCGCGATTCCGGCGAGCTACACGCTTGCACTACACCGTATTCCTATTTACGCCGTTTTTATGCACCCCCAAACCCTCCGTTTACACAAAAACCGTTGCCCCCAAACTGAAATCTATCTAGCCGCGCGCGTTTTTCGCGTATCAATCATTTTTGCTGGGCGCAAAGAAGCCGGGCCGAGTGCAGCCGTTTCCGCCGCGCGCCTTAGCCTTACCCAAATGCGGTTTCACGCACACGCGCGTGCCGCTTCTCTAGCCAGTTTTGGAGGAGGACGGCAAGGAGAAGCTTCACCGTCTCTTGTCTAGCCGATAAATTATCAATCTTTGGGGGTGATAACGAGAACTTGTTACTCTGTCTTACGCAATGGCAGGGTAGGGTAGACAGAAGGAAAACAAGTGGAAACTGTCATTAACTGGCAATTCCGCTTACGTCACTAGGTATTGAAAGGTACTGGGAAATCAGAATTTGAGGTTTTGGTCGATTTTTGAGAAATTGCCAACGAAGATACGACGTTTTTACGCTCGAAAATTCATAAATTGAGAAATTAACTTTTTTCAGGTTTGGCAAATCCTGAGAAATCACTTTAAAGGGATAGTGCCAGCTAGAAAAAGCCAGAAAACCCGCGACTCACCAAAAAGAACGATCCCGGAATGGCGAACGTCTGCTTGTACAGATAGGTGTAGATGAACACGGTGCTGATGTAGCTGTAGTGCTCCTCTTTGTACTTGGCGAACCGGTCGGCCAATATTGTGAAGTTTTCGAACTGTTGTGGGAGTTCGAAAGAGGCGAGGCTATCTGAAAAAAAACCCATAAATTTCATTAAGGCAAAATTACTAGGCGTAAGCATAAGCCCAAGCGTAAACATAGTCTTTCAGCCTAATTTGTGCCCTTTCTACCGTACCTGCCGTATTCTCCCACCCGGGCGCCGAGCATATCAAATACCATAGCGTGAGGGAAGCTGCGGCGAAGATCGCGGGTAAGATGAGCAACCGCGTCATCTATCTCCACCTGGAAAACTGGGGTTTTTATTTTTTTGATACCTTCAAGGTACAGGGAGTAAGTCAAAATTATTAAATGTGCAAAAAGTGAGGTACGCATGCAGAATTCGCAAAAATTTGTAGATCCCACCTCTCCGCCGCCCCTTCCGCTATCGGAGCCGCCGAGAGACGTCGATCGTTTGGAGATCCGTGCCCCTGCAAAAAATAGGTATATTTTGGGATTGCAGTTTGTAGCGATAAAATTATATAGTGGTTTTTATAGTTTAGGGGCCTCAAATAGCTTCAGAAAGAACAAAAAAGCGTAATTTTTACCCGAAAACGCAAAAAAAATTGATCGAGATGCATACTGTCTGTCAGTTAAAAATATACTGTAGTTAATTAATTAGAAGATAGAAAAAGGTATTGCAGCAAAAAAAAAGAATTTAAATTTGGGTCTGGAAATCAAGATGGGAAATATAGAAAAACGTGAAAATGCCAGAAAGCTACTAAAAACCTAACCAAAACGGGGTTAAGGGCTTAAATCATAGCTTGATTTAAATCATTTAAAAGCGTACAAAATTATCGCAATAATGAAAGGTAATTAAATCGCAAAGGTGAGTTACTCACTTGAAAAAGCTAAAAATGTCAAAACGGGTCAAAATCCAACTAGAAATTCGCTCAAATGCGGGTAGATCCGGAATTCCGTTACATTACTAGGTCCGGTAATGTTATAAAAAATTATAAGAAAATGTAATTTCGCAACACCAAAAAACTACTAGAGCCCCAAAAATGACGCCACCAACAGCCACCGCAAGATGGCGGAGCGTTTTTGGTGGTGATGGCAAATGCCCGCCGGGGGTAAGGGGCGACAAACCGGCTCTAGAAAGCAGCTCGCCCCCGACCCTTTCCCGTCCCTTTAAAGTGATACGGGGTGGAGGGGGGATCAACCCCTGAGGCAGGGCACGGCCTTGGCGACAATAAAACGAATGAAGTGCCACCTCGCTCTTTTGCAGACTTGTGGGAGGCTGACTAGAACTCGTGATCCTGGCAACGGCTCCGTAGGGAGCAAGTTCGTGTAACCTTCAGAGTATTGCGGTGAAATTCTGGTTTTGAGGGTTAGGGAGATTGGGGCACGGTACTGATTATAAAGCTACGTGAGCAGCTGGCCTATACGGATGTGTACGAGCACGTTGCGTATCGCTACCGCACTAGTGAGAGAGAGAGAGAGTGAGAGAGAGAGAGAGAGAGAGAGATATATTGAAAGAGAGAACGGCAACCAGAGACCGATGGAGAGATTTACGGAAAACAGCCAGAACATAGCGATAGAGCCAGAGATAGAGAGAGAGAGAGAGAGAGAGAGAGAGAGCGAGAGAGAGCAAGAAAGAGCGAGAGAGAGGGGGAACGAATGCGAAAGCCAAGAAAAGCGTGGGTGGGCACAGCATTGGAGCTCCGGCCTGATAGCCCCCGACACCGAGATGCCAGATTTCGCACATGCCAGGAATAAAACCAAAAATTGCACCATCGTGGTCCCCAGCGTCACAGCTATTGCCGAATAATAACAATTTCCGGTCCTTTCGACCTGCTCGATTTCACCTCCACGCCCAAACGAACAATGCCTGCGAACGAGGAGCGCCGCCTGGGAAAAACGCGGGGAATTAGGTCGAGCTGTGGTCGGAAATACAGAAAATTATAGGGGGTTGCAGGCTACGGGAGGGGTTAAGAGATCAGATTGTTAATAGCTATTGAAAAACTGCTGCGAAATTCAAATCAGCAAGACGCGCGAGATTACCTTAAAAGAGTATAGGCAAGCCTGACGCTCTTGCAAAAATTGCTGAAATTCAAGACAATACAACGGACTGGCCAAGAAACGAAGAGTATTATCTGTTTTTCGGTCTATTTCTCACACTCCCTTTCTCGCTATTTGTTGCCTTGCGGCGCTAGTGGGCGCCGGGTTAGCTAGTGACAAGAACTGGCGCGGCGCGGTGCGGCGAGGGAAAGGAGCGGAAGACGACGCGGTGGCGGGGGCTGTGGTTGGTGCTCGGTGCGGATGGAGGGAGGGCAGAAAGCGAAGTGACATCGCCAAATGCCATCCCCGCAACCACCACTCCATTTGCCAGGAGGGAAATCCAGCCCATGCACCACCGACCACTGTTTTTCCAGATATGGATCTGGGGGGACAGTGAAATGGGTGGGAAGTGGGGGATCGGATCGAGGTAGGGGTCAGTTCAAAGTGTTTTAATCCATTCAGGGCTTAGAGGAGCGTCAAGCTAAAGATAGCTGAATTTTTGGGTTTTAAACGCTACGCTACGCGCCTAATGACGCAGTTGCTCCTTGAAGAAAACCAAGATGGAATGGGGGCTCGGATGGTGGAACGAATCGGATAAATGTAGGCTATTTTCTAACGTCTTATGAGCCTAGCGTAAAACCTAGTAAAAATTTTCAAAATGACAAAAAATTCAGAGACACTACGCCACGCTCCTAATGACGTAGATTCAAGCTTGAAGAGCCTATGTAGCATTAACAACACGGATTTTCACGTATATAAATCCAGATACTTCTCAAAATTCCCACCTTGTAACCGCGGCCACGGTTGAGCGTCGAATTTTCGTAAAATTGCCGCCCGCGCACGACGCACGCCAGCCCCCAGGTGTTCCTCGCGGCCCGGCTGAAAATTGTGGGGTTGCATTGGAAGGGAGACGAATTTGAAAAATGTAGAAAAATGAGGGCATCTCATAAAGGTGACTGTAAAAGGGTGTGGAATAGGACCTCCAAAAATCTCGTCCGTCATTCATAGCAATAAAATCATCTGTTTGCCTACATATTCTGTCTAAAAAAAAATTCAGAAAAAAATTCGAGGATAAAATCAATCGAGGATAAGAGGAAAAAAGAGAAAACAAAACATTCCGCTTCCAAATACAGCCAAGGAAACCACCGGCCAAAATTGACCCCAATCCCCCCGGGTTCATCACTAAAACGCGCACCTTCCCGTGAATCGAATAAATCCCCCCCCGCTCCGCGCTTCTCTAAAAAAGACGCCCGAGGCGGCTCCCGGCGGCGCGCGTGAGGCCGATCAACGGCGCCCATCAATTCCCGACGGTCATCCTCGGGAGGACGAGATCGAGCTCGAGGAAAAGCCGAGACAAGACATTGCGCAAGAACCGGGTCGCCTCACCGCGGCATCTCTGTTCTATTCGATTGAGCATCAGGCTCCAGGATGAATCTATGGCAATGCGGGGGTTCTCGACGGCAAATTGATTAGATTCCGGTTTTTTGGTGGTGGAATTTCGGGGGGAAGTGGGTCACGAAAATTAGGGTTTTTGAGCGAGTGGGAATAGGTGATAGCTGATTTTCGAGGGTCGGCAAGGTGGAACCGGTCGGAATGAGCATCGAGGGTAGCTAGCAGAGATTCTTTATGAACATCAAAATTCTGGGGGGGGGGGGGGGGGGGGGGGAGGGGGGGGGGGGGAAGGGTTTAGCAACCTAGCAGAAATCTTTAGCGAATTTCGAACAAAATGGCATCCACTCGCAGCAAGCCGAGTCCAACCCTGGCGCCCTGGAACTGGTTCCTTGGGTTGAAAGGCCCCCAGGGGGTCAGAGGGTAGCCCTAGGGGTGGGTGGGGGAGGCCGTGATTTGTCTGCTACCCCTTGCTCCTCCCTCTTCTAAAATGCCTGGGCAGCAACACCAACCGGTCCGCATCCACCTTTTAGCCACTGTGTGTGGGAAGCAATTGTTCGGCTGGATTCTGGTTTGAAACTCGCACACGTAACGCCAAACCGGGAGGTGTGGAGAGGCTGTTTTGAAAGCCGGATTGGTCAGGAGGTCAGGTATGCAAATTTTCGACGGGCTTGGCGGGATTTTTAGCTTGAAAAATGAGATAAAATCAGCTACCAAAAAAAAGTCCGTATCAACTGCGATCAGGAGCAATGAGAAGAGCAGAAAGCAGTGCTAGAGGGCGAGAGAGGGAGAGAAAGTGAGAAACAGCGAGAGAGAGATAGAGAGAGAGAGAGAGAGAGAGAGAGGAGAGAGAGGAAAAGAGTGAGAGAGATAATTTGGCATAATGCAGTGCTTACGGTGTGAAAAATGCAGGGAATGTCGCTGTAAGGAGTAACGTAGCGTCGTTTTCTATGTTTCGGTGCGGTTCCAGTCTGCCGTTTTATCCGCCGTTAACATCGCGATCAAATTTTTCAAGCGCCCAAATCAGATCTCGACCCGGTTCACCAGGTAAACAGATCAGAGCCGCCGCTTTTCCATAGATTTTTGGTGCCAAGATCGAGCCAACTCCTTGAGGTTGAACTTGGAAATTTCAAGGATCGTCCAAAAAACAGTAATCCAAGAAAAAGTAAAGCTCCAGGCCGTTTCTGGATCCACAAAATCCCCGGGAGCCCCAGCCCAGGCCAGTTTTCTTCCCAGGTTTGTTGGAGGGGCGATTATTCGTCTTCCGCTTCCCCCGGGGCGCGACGACCCCATGCTCCCCATTGCGAAAACTTGAGCACCTGTGTTGGATATGCAAAGTCTGGACGAGAACGAGGAGGACTAGGCGGGCAAAAACTAGCCTGATCCTGACAATGCAATGGCTTAAAGAGGGAAGGGATTTGAATTTTAGGGCCAGATCAGGCTTTGTTGGGTGGTGGAAAGGAAATTTTAGCTTTCAAATAAGCGTTGGAGGAACTTTTAATATCTCATGCTCGCTCTATCTTTATCTCTACTTCTCTCTCCCTCTCTCCCTCTCTCTCTCTCTCTCTCTCGTCTAAAGATCAACCCCAGATCACCTTTCAAAAATCATTAGATCCGATTTCGCAACCCTCCAGATGACATTCTTATCAGACCCCCCTCCAGACACAAATTCCTCCCTCCAACAAACCACGTAACCCATCTATGACTCAGAAAAACGGAAATGTCTAGAGTCACAGCAATGCGTATCTGAATCAGAACATCGTTTTTTTTGGGACGGAATACCATAGGGATCAAAATCGGACATTAGACACAACTAAAAAGTTCCCCGGAATTCCAGCGACTGCCC